CTGGGGTGGGGGGGAGGAAGGACAAGGGAGTGGCCACTGTCTTGATTGCTGGCTACCCTTCGTACAGGCCTGCCTCTCGATGCTGATTGGCAGGGGCCCTGGCAGTGGGGGAGGGACAAGGGGGCAGCCACCATCTTGTCTGCTGCCCTTCGTGCCACTCCGCCAGCCAGCACCCTCCCCTCCTGGCAGCAAGGACCACTGGCTCCTTCTGGGGCACCAGCTTTTACTGCTGCTGCTACTGCTGTTGATTTTGCAGACAATCCCAGTTTTGTGATTTTCCACAAAATCCATGATACTGCAAATTAAGTAGGTCCCTACTCCACTTCTTCACAAAGAGGATTATTTTTCAGGGCTGAGAGTACACTAAGGTTTTCATGAAACGTTTTATAGAATGACCAGAGTTATATTTTAACCCACTGTGGAAATGGGAGAGTCTTGGTGAATCCCTGCTAAGAAAATAATTGTTAAGCTCTGCACTTTGTGCAGTCTCTGTTCCCAGGAACTGACCATGATTACTGAACCCTTTGAGCCTTGGGAGGCAGCTGAGTTTTCAAAATAGAGGTTAAATAACTCACTTGAGGTGACAAAGGGTCAGAACTTGTATTAGAACTCAAGACCTTCTTCTTTATCAGTTTTGTGCCTAAACTTGTGGGCACCATCTCTGACTGTGATAACTCTGTTTTCAAGAACAAACATACATAATCTGTTTTTGTTTTACAGATCAGGTAACAGTTGGCCGATGGTCCCGAGGGATGAGTGCAGACCATGAAGACATTCTAGAAAGCCCTAAACCACAAAAAGCAAAAGTAAAAGTGCCTAAAGTTGTTAACTTCTGATACCTGCTCTGATGGAATTAAACCTCTTCTGAGTGGGGACTGCTTACCATTACTGCTCCTCGTTGGCTCCACTAAGTTGGCCAAATTGCAACTGCTAAAATGACTCCCGTGTAACTAAGGTTTTTTTGTCACGGTTTCCTACAGTCCTGTCTGCTCTCTTAATATAGATGTCCCCAATCTCTTGTTGGTTCATGGGCAACAATACTGGGTCAGTCATGCTGCAGGCATCTTACTTTTCTCTCCCTGTCAAACCTAGTTTTTAAATCTTCAATTTCCTGTGAGATTCCTAAACAAAACAAACTTGGGGAGAAACAGCAATGCAGCAAATGGATATATTTAAAAAGATGGTATGTGGTGGCCATGGTTTGAGACGTAACTGAACCTCTTTTTCCTTTGTGGTCTCTGAGGTCATCCCCCCAACTTCACTTCTCTGAGTAGGAAGCTGGGCTGCTGTATGCTGTATGCTGTGAGCCTTTTGCACCCTACAGCTTCAACTGTCTACAATAATCCAAGTTTGACCAAAGATCCAAGTGGATTCCAGTGACCAGCATTGGTCATGAACACAGTGTTTTGGAGACAGCCAAAGGTCTTCACACTTCTATTTTATCAAGAGTTTCTCCCTCTGCAAGAGGACCCTGGTTGTTCTAAGCTGCCTTAGACACTCTAGTGGGGTTCTGGTTTGTCTTGGCTTTCAAATCTGTCTGGCCTCTTAAAAGTAGTGAGATCATCTTTTTAAAAGTGCTAGTGCCTTTGTCTGCAAGCTTGGGGCCACTTACTTTGGCAAGCAGGGGGCCAGGAAGTCAAAGTGAATGGTTCCTGCCCTGTCTTTGAAAGCATCCCCTTCCTGGGCCATATTTGCTTGATTGCTCCATCCATAGAGTAAGGTAATATATGATCAGGGACATATTGCAGTGGATTTGAAGCTGGTTGTATTGTGATTAAATTCAGTATTGCTGAGAGCCTTATCATGTAGCCGGTAGCAATAGCAGGACATGTGTAGCTAACCAGACCAGAATGAGAGAATGCTCTGAACTATCCACAACTTGTTCATGTACCAGCACTGTTCCTGGATAATGTTGCTCAGGGAAATTTGCTCCCTCTTCTGGTGTTGATCTTTTGATTTGATGGCTTTCAATTGTTAATGACACTGGGACGCTGAAGACCATGTCTCCATTATGCCCCTTTGCTGTCCTGATTTTGGAAGAATTTTGTTTAATTACAGGCATATAATCCCATGTGGAACAAATCTTGTTTTCTGAAACATCCACACAGTGTCTGTTGTCTCTGCAAATCCCTTTGAGTATTAAGAAACTCAGTGCTCTAGCTTTGTTTGCTGTCACCAAGGTCATTTGGATAAATGTATGTGCATCACATGGCCTCCTTCAAGCCATGTCATGTTTGTTAATGCTTTACACGGTAGCAGGAACAAAACCACAGAAATGTGTCTACGTGGTTGGGATGTCTGGCTTTTCAGCGCTCTACTATTATAGTGGGTAATACTAAGGCAGGGGCAGGCAATTATTTTGGCGAAGAGGCGCTTACTGAGTTTTGGCAAGCCATCGAGGGGCGCATGACGGGCAGCCAGGGGCAGATAAATATTCATTTTCTAAATTTTTTAGGGGCCCCATGGGCCAGATAGAATGGCTTGGAGGGCCACAGGCAGCCTGGAGGCTGCATTTTGCCCACCCTGTACTAAGGCCTAGGTTTGGTGCATTCAGTACCAAACTAGAACTGCTAATGCCTTGGTTACTGTTGCCTAATACTCCAGATCCTTGAAGCCTGGATTCAGAACTGCAGTGATGGGGCACTGTGTACCAAATTCTAAATCAACTGACAGTTCATGTTTGAAGTAAAATTAAACAGTGGTCAAGGTATTCATTTAACTGTCTATTTTAAATTAACTTGCCCATTTTATGAAAGTATCATGACTTTTAGATAATCTTCATGCTCTCTGAAAGGCATCATGGCTTAGTACATTAGGTAAAGGCTTGGGGAGACCTAGGGTCAAGTCCTGGCGCTGTTGCTGACTTGGCATGTTTGCAGTTTTTTATAGTAAACAAGAAAACAAAAATAATTGTTTTAATAGTTTGTTTATACATTTTTAAAATGCAGAGTTGATTTTAACACATGAAAAGAAGTTGAATTTTCTATCGTGATGGTTGTTTCTGCTTTGTTTAATAAATTCCCTAGGTCTGGTCTTATTTTTTCCCCCCACAAATAACTTTCCTTTCAACATATCTTTGAATTGCTTGTCTGTGCCTTCCAGATCCATATTTGTCCTGCTCAGTAGCCCATCAACCTTATCTGAGTACATGTATTCAGTTTGTGAAAACTCAGAACATACAATCATAGGAAAAAAGAATGCAGAGATTACCTGTAGACTTGACCAGAGGGATTCTGGTGGATGCACTCCATGTTTTCCATTGGTTGACTCTACTTTTATCTATAGCACTCTGCACTGGGGAGCTGGAACTTTGCAAGGGAGGGCAAGTGGTGCTATTCAGCTCCTGTAGTAGAAATATTTAATGGAAACCTCTATGCTAGACCTACCTCTCCATTGCCATAGGTACCATAGATAGTGGTTACTGTAATGGGAATAGGACTGCCTCAGCTATGCCACCTCATAGCTCACCATATCCATCTAGAAACATTTCTGTACCAATGTCAGCCGTGGGATGATGGGCAGCATAGAGCAGATATTGCACCAAGGCTGTTAGGCAAGTTCAGCAGTGTGCAAAAGGGGCTACCATGAACTTTGCGAAAACAAAGCTGATGTAAAGTGGGTGCAGCACAGAACCCATTTCCTTTTGAGGCTAGTAACTGAGCATTGCCATAGCCTCTAATAACAGCAGTTTCTAGTGGCATGACTGAGGCAAACTTTATGCAAACACCACAAGGGTGATGCTAACATTCAGTTATTGAAGTTCAACCTCCCCAATATACCTATATTCACAGAGGGTAGCAGAGAGACCAGTCCGGTTTGGTTATCTTGTAGCCCTGCTATGTTCTCTGGTTTCTGCTGCTGTTTTCATACAGAACCAGTACGTGTGGTGGTCAGTAATGTTACCAAAAGCTTGCAGTTAATTGCACAAGGCATTTACCTGCATGCACCGCACAAACTGACATACATAGCAGCTTTAGCAAGGCTGGACTGTGACTGAGCCTATAGTATCCCTGGTGGGGTATTCAAACCCCCTTCCATCCTGTCCTGGGCTTTAATATCCCAGAAGTGTCTCCTCTAGGATGCAGTGCCCCAGCATGCAATTGTTTTCATAGAAATAACTTGGGCTCCAGGTACAGACCATGACATGTTTGCTATAGTGTAAACTGACTTTGCCTTATAGTAAGTGGAACAGATAAAATACACAGTTGTATGCTAGTGTGAGCTAGTCCACTTCAGGGTAAAGTTGTCTCTCTTATGGAAACTGCTGTGTCCTACACCAATGCTTATACTAGCTGTGTATCCACTCCCTCAGTCACTTTCATCCTGGGGTAAATATTTGTATACAATACAAACTAGCTCCCGTTCTACCTATGTGGCAGGTGTTGTAATAACACCTATGTCATGGAGCTGGATAAGGAGAACTGGTCACGTATCTGCCTCTTACTTCAGCATATGTTTACTAATAAAACACAAGGTAAATCATTCCATATTAATCATGCCACATGGCTGTACCCTCTCTTTCCAGGCAATAATAGACCAGTCTTTTCCAGCTTCAGTAATTATATTGCTCACAGATGAGGTATTCCTTGTTTCAAGATATAACTAACACTCACCTTTTATACTAAGTAGGATTATGGTAGGGGAACCCAAGCCCACCCCTTATGCTTAGGTTTTGGGTCCAGGCCCTTCCTACCTGTGAGGCTAGCCTCAAGGTCATATTTATAGCTTAACATATAACAAAACCTGAACCCTCTTCCTACCTTACTTCTGGGGCTCTACAGCCAGCATCTTTTTTCTGGTGATGCTTGTGCTCACTAGCTCTCCCTAAGACTCTGTGGTGTCAGCTCTCCAGTGGTTCTGGTTCTTGCCACAGCCACTGCACCATCTTCACATCCCTAGGTCCACCACCCTAGGCATCAATGCCACCACAGCTTCCAGTGGCTGTTCCTGGCCCCCACACTCCCTGCCACCCTGCACTGGGAGCTCTCCAATATCCTCCAAACATGCAAGCTCTAGACTCTTCAGCACTTTCTCAAGTGCTCTACCTTCACCTGCAATGTGAATAAAGCTGGAAATGCATCTTAAAGGGGCCCTGCCCTAGGTCTGTTCTGAGCCATTAGGACCTGGCATTGCTATCCCTTTTACAATACATTTACTCCCATTAATATTTAAGCCTAGATTCTGAGCATGACAACATACTGCTGAAAGGAGTTGCCGCTCAATATGCCACCCGTTATAAAACAAGAGGACTCATGGTAAATAATCAGCATCACTTCAGTGATTTTATTCAGTAAATAATTTGTAAAACATACATTTGTAAAAAACACAATCATCCAAATGATTTCATAGAGGTATATACAAATATGTGACATAATGTGTCATGAAGATGGTTGAAAAGTCCAGCGTAGGATGTGCTGCATGTACTGTAGCTATTATACACAAAAGCAAATGCAAGATTGGAATATGCAGACACTCTTACTGTTCAGGCAGGGCTTCAGTCAGCCAAAAGCTGCTCTCTGATTGTAAGGTTAGTGGGACTATTTCACTGTGCAGCCTTTACTCTACATAACATATCTGCCTAGGTAAAACCTTAGGTTTAGCTCTACAAAGAGCCTTTAATTTTTGCACTATTCAGTGTCACACATCTTATTTTTAGATATTTGGCTCCCAGGGTGGAATCCTGTGTTAGACTTGCAGACTCCATACACAGTGTTTGGGGAACCAGGCGATCTCACAGAGAGATGATGCCTGCAAGCCCACAGAGGCACCTAAACTTTGGCTGAGAATCCCAAATGGAGAAGTGTGGCATCTCTGGATGAGACTTCCCAGAGTTGTGCTCTGACCAGCAAGCATGAACATACAGAGCACTGGTGCTGCCAAGTTTTAGAAGAAAAAAATGACTCCTACACAATACTCTGACAGAATACACATCCTGGAATGGCTGAGGGCTCTGGCTCTTAAGTGGATGGAAATGGCTACTTGATGAGTGGGATTTAGTACTCTTTCCTTTCCTCTGCATTTCTTCATTGGCCACCTCTAACAGATACATACTGGGCGCATCTACACAGGAGGTTGACTCTGCAGTAGGATAATTAGCTGCATAGTAAACATCTCATCTACACATGCCTCCCTAATTGGTTGAAGTAAATTAATT